GTAAGTTTATGATCTAGGGTTACCCCCAAAAATTTCGTTGTAGTATAACTTTTTATTGATTTGCCATCCACATGTAAATAAAAGTCAGAATTTGGAGTTAAGTTTTTTGGTAAGAAACGCATAAAATGTGTTTTTGTTACATTGAGCTTGAGTCCATTATTTTTACAATATGTGCTAAATTCAGCAGACACAACATTGGTATTTTCCACCAGTTGTATGGGTTCACTGTGAGACATGAGAATATTTGTATCATCAGCATACTGAACAATTTTATCTGGCATTGAACAAAACGTGTTTAGGTCACTTACAAATATAATGAAAAATAAAGGCCCAAGTATTGAGCCTTGAGGTACACCCATCGTACATTGAAGTGGCCTGGACGTTACATTTTCCACTGTGACTACTTGAGTTCTATTGCTTAGATAAGATAGGGCCCAATTGTACGGTATACCACGTATTCCAATACCCTGCAATTTTTGTAGTAAGAGTTCACGATCAACTGTATCAAATGCACGACTAAGGTCATAAAAAAGACCCAACACATTTAATTTATCATTTAATGCTTTATAAATAAATTGAAGACAGTCAGAAATAGCAGTATTTGTAGATTTCTTTTTTCTAAACCCGTTTTGAATAGCAGGAAGAATTTTAAAATGTTCTAAATAATCTGTTAATCTATTTGCATAGGCTGCTTCAAATATTTTAGAGAACTGACTTGACACACAAATCAGCCTATAGTTTGCAATATCCGTTGCAGATCCTTTATTTTTAAAAATAGGGATTCCTTTCGATTCCTTTATATCTGGAAATATTCCGCATGTAAATGATTCATTTATGAGATAAGATAGTGGTAAAGCTATATAAGTGGCAACATGTTTCAAAGCTTTTCCATCAATTTCGTCTACCCCTGCAGCTGTTTTAGAAGCAGTTTTTAATACAATAGATATAACTTCTTTTTCAGTGGTTGGTGATAAAAAGAAACTTGAATTGAATTGGTCAATTTGTGTAGTACGGTTTACAACTGATAGTTCATTATTTTTTACAGCATTAATAAAATAATTGTTGATTTGATCAGCTTTATGATAATTTTGTAAGTCACCGTTGTTACTAAAAGATATTAAATTTTGATTTGATTGACAGTTTTTACCTCTATTTTTATTAATTATTTTCCAACTTTCTTTCATTACATTATTGCTATTTCTAAATTGATTATCATATTGTTCATTTTTATGTTTTTTAACAATTGTTTGATATTCTTGTTTAAATTTCTTGTATCGTTCCGAATACTCTGGGTTATTGAGTTGTTTTCTTAATACATTCATCTGACACAATTGATCATGCAAACCCTTAATATGAGGTGCAAACCACGTTTTTTGTTTTGGTCTGGTAGTTACTCTACGCTTTAAGAAAGTAATATTATAATAATATAAGAAAGTATCATAAAATATTGAAAATTTTTCTTCAAAACTACTAGCCACATATAGATCACTCCAATCAATATTAGCTAAAATATTTTGAAACGTTATTAAGTTGGCATCGCAAAAGTTTCTGGTAAAAACAGTTTGAGGATTTTTTCCAGCAACTTTCATATCAAAAGCACATAATTGATAAGTATGATCTGATAGAAATGTGTCACATACACTTACCTTTTGAACATCTAAATTGGAAAAAAAGTTGTCAATACACGTTGAAGAATTTTTAGTAATTCTAGTAGGTACATTTATGTGAAATTTAATGTTGTATTCTAAAAATAAGTTTATTAAAATATTTTTCTGATTGCTATTTTCTAAAAAATTGATATTAAAATCTCCACATATAACGTAAAAATCATTATTGTTATAAATACTCTGCAACAATAGTTCTAACTTCGTAATAAAAGTATTAAAATTCACACTATAAGGAGGTCTGTATATAGTTACAATATATAAATATTTTTTACTTCCATGAACTTTAAATTTTACTCCACATATTTCAACTTTGCTTTCAATACACCATTGACGTAAATTTAGCTGTTCACAACTAAACTTATTATTTACAAATATGCATACACCTCCACTTTCTTTATCATTTCTTGCGAAATAAGACACTAATTTAAAGTTTTCAATATTGGTTACTTTAAGTTTATCTTCTTTCAACCAGTGTTCACTAAGGCATAAAACATTCACATTATTACTTTGAAGTATCAAATTTATATCGTAAGATTTACGTGCAAGTCCTCCCTGTATATTGCAGTGTAAAATAGGGAAATATAAGTTTGTCGGTTTACTTGCATTAATATTTCGACTTCGGATATTTTGATGAACTATGGAAGTTTGACATTTACTTTGGGTTTGAGAGTCCCTAACGAAGAAATTATTTAAAAATCCTCGGAGCGACGATTATATTGTTGGTATTTCCGGAAATCGAAACGCTTGTAAGCGACAGATCTTGGCCAAGTCGACGGTTTATATATTTCGTCTTTTAATTCGAAGTTGACACCACACATAAAACATTTGTTTTGGTTTTCGTTAGTTGGTAGTTCTCTAATGATAATATCAGCGTCTTTAAACACTTCCTGATCTTTTAGATAATCGAAGATAGTTTCTGTTGTGACACTTCGTTTAACTCTAGAAAGGTAAAGCCAAGCCTTTCTTTGAACTCCTAAGTCGGTAGTTTTATCATTTTCACCGTAGTTCTTTTTTGTTCGTCTAGTTGTCTTCTTTGAGTGGACTAACGTAAAACCATCATTGTCTTGTCCCATATCTTCATTTATATTTACTAAAGTTTGCATTTTATTTAGCTGCACATTACTAAGTTCTGCAGTTGTTGAATTATTATCAGGACTTCTACTACTTTCGGCAACAGTTGGCAACACCGGTGATTGGAATTTATTTGTAGTTTTATAATTTGGAGGTAATTGTTTGATATGACTAAGGTGTTTTTTGTTTGACTCATTTAAAACTGGTTGTTTAACAGGTTCAGTTTTTGCTTCCATTTGGCTTATCTTTTCTTGTAAATAACGATTGTTTTGTTTTAAAAGAGAATTATTTTCTAGTAGTAAATTAAATTTTTCCTCTTTTTCTTTTATAATATTTTTAAGTAGCTCATTTTCTTTGTATAGATCGCGTTTACCTTGGAAATTCTCCTCAACATCATTTGATTTCTCGTTTGTTTCACAGCAAATTATTCGTGTGTCACAAATTTTGATGCATTGAAGCTTACTTCTGGTTGCACATGACAAATGAAAAACATTTCCACACTGTACACAAACTAAGATTTTAGTAGCTTTACTTTGACAGCACTTAAATTGCTTCTCTAGGAAATTTTCGTCACTAACTAGAGAGAGCACATTTAAACGCTGCTCACCAGTCGGCGCCATCTTGGATATATGGACTACCAATATATATATATATACATATATATATATATATTTATATATATAATATATATATATATATATTATATATAATCTTTCGAATAAATACAAATAACTTTTAATAATTTAAATAATATAAAACATAATTTTTATTTAACAACAATAACATTATACCTTATTCATATTTCATTTGTTTAACATCTCTCCCCTCAAGAAACTTCCCTGCTAATTATCAAACAGATACAATAGAAAAACCGAAGATCACCCATCATCAGCAATACAGGATAGTTTAAAACTATGTTTTACGAATCATTAACTAATAATTCTTGTACCGGCATGTATAGTAATATTTTGTTTATTTACTAATTTATTACAATTCAATAGATTATTCTTAACTAACTAGAACTAACGTATCGAAGAAGATGAACGTTAAATTGAGAGTTAAAGTTCTGCACGTAACGTAACGATGGTGTTTGCCCTCATCGAATTAGTGATAAACTAATAAGTTGTCAGTGCCAGTCTTGTCCTTGTCACCCAACCCTATTTTTGATATTCAAAATAAATAACAAATATTTTTTAAACAATTTTTGATTTTGGAGATGGACGCAATAATAAATGTAGGTGCCATTATTGATGATGAAGAAGACGAGGACATAAAAATCCGCTTCTTCTCCACATCTTGCACGACTATACGGCCGTTTTAATTTGGATACCATGTCTGATATATACAATGTAAAAAACCTTTTTCGCTTTTGGATTAAATTTCACCTTTCTGGATGATTTTAAGGGTTCTTAAGACTTCCTTAAACAAAAACATATCTTCATTACTGAAGAGAAGTCGTTTTCTACTGCTATCCATAATTTATTAAAATCAAAACAAATATACTTAACCACAAATGTGGATGTTGATATTTTGGTAATCGGGTATGATCCCCTTGTGCATTCGGTTACTTTCGGCTGGATAGGGATGCGTATGAACGTAACGTATCAGCCCGTTACGTTAGGTAATACGTATCTATCTTATATGTCAAAAAGATACGTTACGTATACGTATTTGATTGCACAAAAACTCTCTAATATTGGCTTAAGTACTGTAATTTTATCTTTATATTTATAAGACAGCACCCTAATATGGGCTTATTATAATTTCAGCATTTAATTTACTTTGTACCGTTTGACCTGAAGATGCTTTGCAAATTGTAGAAAGCGAAACCGGTCGTTTTGGTAGTAAAATTAAATTTATTGTAAGTCTTATTTTATTTCTTTTTACCTATAGTATAATTTCTTGCACATGGTTTGTTAGACCATTAGCAATAAAAGATTGAATATTTTTTCCTAAACATATGGAAAATCTCGAAATAATTAATTTTCAAAACCATGGGTATAATGAGCAAAAACAATAGTTACAAGGTGCATTTTTATTGTTCATGGGAAATTAAGAAATAGGTGACGCATCGAAGTTACTGCCTTCAACATCGTATCATCCACTTTCCAAAACGATTCCCTCTTTAGACAGCATTAAAAAAACTTTCTTACACCCATTAATAATAAAATTATGTAGTCAATTTAATTCATAGACTATATCTTGTCGTGACATTGTTAAAAAGGTTGTCAAGGTTAAAAAAAGACAATTTCATATATAAATTTATTTATATATACTAGTACTTATACTGAACTTAGAGCAGAAGGTAAACCCAATAATTTTCTTACTGCATCGCCATATTTTGTAACTGTATAGTCATTTTCTCCTAAAAAAAATAAAATTTATTTAGGATAAATAATGTCAAATAAATCGAATGCATTAAGAAACTCTCTTATAGTTTTTTTGATTAGCTTTTATTAGTATTTTATTATGATGGATGTGGGCGAAACCGATGTGAGGAAAATTTAAGCCTTGGAACTCTAGATATTAAAGATTTAAAGTATGGAGTGGATAAATTTTTTTCAAAATCCATAGCGACTGCTTCACAGTTTACATTCTGCATTGCTGTTTTCCTTGCCTTTCTCATTATTTCATAAAATGCTTCCGCTTTGGATTTGTGTAGGCTATTTGCCAAAGTTATTCGTTTTATCTCTACTTCTATCTTTTTTTTTTTTCAGATGCATCATTTGTTTCATTAAATTTATTGTGAAGGACCTTAAGGTCAGCCAAGAAATGATCGCAAGCAATACACGTATCACTCCGCGGATAGCCGAAGCTAATGTTAAAATGCTTATTAAAGATTTGTCGATATGTTTCGTAAAAACACAGGAGCGCCATTATCGGATTTGTACATAGTGTACATTTTCTTAATATTTAAGTCATCCGGAAGGTACATTTTCTTAGTTTTATTTTTACTATAAAGGCTTTCTCTTTCTTTAAAACGTTTTATGTGTTTAATAACTTCATCTAGCTGTTGTTTTGTTAATGCATGTTTTTTTGGATTTTTTTCGCGTTTGTCAATTGGTGCACTACCCGTAGCTTTTAAACTTTTTTGAATATTTTCAAGCCTCTTCCTACCAATGCCATGAAGGCTTAGCTTAAAACTAGCTTTAAACACAAAACTAGGGACAGTCAGTACTATTTCTTTGCTTTACGGGCATTTACGTTATTAGTTTTGTTGATCTACTGTTTTAAAACACTTAAGTCTCTTACATGACAACCGTCACCTGTTTCATGGCTCTGTTGTCTTAACCGCTTCATTACTTCATTTATTCGACCTGTAATTTTAATTTTTCTAGTATTTTTTCCTGACATGTATCATCTCTTTCACTATCCGTCATTTTCGAGCACAATAACATGCACTTTATTTAATGAAGACTAATCGAAAACTAAACGTTTTTAGTAAACAAAATGCGGCGTGTACTCCCCCGACGTCCCGACAAGCACTGACATTCCACCTTTCTCGGATTTACGCGAGAACCATTCGCCTTTCTTTCCTGTACGAAGAATTTTATAACGTGTTTTAAGCTATGAGGATTCGTCTTTTTCCCATGTTTGAATGACTCACATAAAACTACTACTAAAAACCTACATATTGCTGCTCTGAACAAAAAATAATAAAAAATTGACATTTCTCCTTTCTTCTGTGTGGTCCTCATATATAATAACGGATTGATTACGGCTGTCGCCGCTTCTCCGCCCCCATTTTCCATCTTTTTCTGTCGTATGCAGTTGCCTCTTCTAAGTCTCTTGCCGCCATTGCTTCATCAATATTGTTGCGCCAACTTTTCCGTGGTCATCCTCTCCTTCTTCTTTCAGGAGGGATCCATTCCAGTACTCTTCTAGGCCATCTGTACTCTGGCATTATTTTAACATGTTTAATATGATTTGATTAATATTTTAAATCAAAGCATCAATGAGTGGAAAATGCAGAGTAGTCAGAAATAAAACCAGTAAATAAACTAAGACAGGACTTATAAATACAATATACAAAAATATAAATAACAAAAATGAAGGCAAAATACAGGTTACAAAATACAACTTAAAATCTAGAAGAAAATAGTAAATTTATGGTCTGCAATAAAATAATATATTTACCTTCATTCATAAGTTTTTCCACAGATTCTACATACTCATCCACATTTTCTATTTTATCATAAGATGTACCAAATAATTTCTCAATGCTTGTTCTTGAGGCATTATTTTTCCAGTCATAATATTGCATATCAGCTTCTGCTTTCAATTCTTCCCAAGGTTCAACATTCTATTAAACATATTATCAGTTTAAATAATTAACAAAATTCAAATAACTGTCTTAGTACAAAATTATATTTTATTCATATATATATATATATATTATATATATATATATATATATATATATATATATATATATACTTCTATTTTATAAACTCAAATAAATTGTGACAGAAACTGAAATAATAAATACATTAGCTTTTGAAGTGTATCCGAAATTAAAATAACTTACCCATGATTCATGATAAAGAGCAGTAATCAAATACAAAGCATAATCATAATTCTGCTTCCTAAGTGGACACCTATCGGTAACTATTGTCACAGTATCAGTGGCTTCATCATATCTATCTCCAACTAACCTTAAAAACTTATCATTTGCTCTCTCATTTAAGTTCAAAGATTTCAACTTAAATCTAAGTGTTACTATCCTAGCCAATGGATTTCTTATAGAGGGAGAAGAGAAACAATAGTCACTAAAGGTAAGCTCAAAAGGAAAATGTTTTTCACATTTCTCATCTGTATCCAAGGCTTTGGGCCAAGGTGTACAAAACTGCTTCAGTGCTTTGCACTGTCTTTCTATTACTGGGGGTGTTAAGTGTAGAAAATTAGGTATTTTAATTAGTTCAGCATTGGCATATTTATCTGGAGAAGCTCCTTTTTTTGTATACCCTTGACGGACTGGGAGAGGTACTGATGCTGGATGAAAGGATCTGGGACCAGGCCACACATTACCCCAATCTTGATCTATTGGCATTTGATTGGTTCTAAAAAATAGATTCTAATAAAAAAAATACATACATACAGACAAAATTACATATGTGCTACATAGTATAATTACACATTGCATTTATTGGTATCAAATTTAATTTTGTTTAAATATAGCTACCTTGCCAGAGTCTGAGATGGACCAAGAAAATTTTAGAATGGAGACAAGGACACAATGCTTATCGTAATCAAGGATTTCCTCCAACAAGCTGGTCTCATGACATTCAGTGCAGTGCAACTGGATTTAAGGTGCTCAAGATCGGAGGAAAAGGAATTATTTAAGGAAGGCCTATGTTCAGCAGTGGACCAAAACAGCTAATGATGATGATAGCCACCTTGATTCATAAGCAAGAGATATTTGTTTGAATCCTGCAGGAATGGGATAGTGTTACTACAAATTATAAAATTATCTAAGAACTTCAAATTTTCTATGTTATAATGGCCTCAGTTAATACCTTACTATGAAAAATTAGAGCTTGAAGATGTTATATATATTAATCTATGATCATATTTTAATATGTATACTATTCATTCAATTCAGCTTTTGAAATACATTTCCATATAAAATCCACACAAAAGATTTGGTGAACTTGTTTATAAAATTAAAAGTGATCTCAGATGCAAAGGGAAAACTTAAGATGGTGTTGGTACAAATCAATAGAGAGACATATGAAAGAAAAACACCTTACTAATAAATATATGAATAGTGTGCCATATATTGCAACTACTACCTATATTACTTCTAGAAACAACAGAAAAAACACAACTTTATGTCATTACAAGTTTTTTGTTTCAATATTGCTTTCAGTGCCTCACAAATGAGACAAAAGTTTTAATACGAAGGTCCTTTTTATCTACTACAACCTACAACTAATCTTTTCATGTCCTTTTTTGAGAAAATATTTTCTAAGCAGACAACATAATGTGTTAAGTAAAACCAAAAATAGTATGAGACAGGTAAAGCTTATCACCTGTAAAGATGCTGTCTATACCAGTAAAGTAAAGTTAGTGTAACCTTCTGGCTAAGGTCTAGTGTTAGGGTTTTCAGGTCGTGCAGGTGACCCTAACATGACTTAACGACTACTTTCGTAGCCGGGACCGACGTCTTTACGTGCCCTCTGAAGCACGGTGGCAGCTCAGTTAAATTAGAAATTGAAAATTTTGTCTGTGCCAGGATTCGAACCTAGGACCTTCAGCTTGTTAAGCCAGTAACACAGCCACTGAGCTACGGCCGCCACTGTCTATAGCAGTATTAAAATGGACACAACTGTTATTGTTATGTATTGCCTTATTAAATAGAATATGGGTATAGAGTATGAGTAAGGACCTGCCAATAATTTAATAAAAACAAGTCCTACCTAGGTGGTATTACAGTTGGTGGTCTTCTCTGCCTCCTTTCTTGCATTCCTTTTTGATTTCTAATGTTAAGTGCCCTGAATTCATCTAAAACAAAAAAAAATAGTTATATCTAATGTTAAGATTAAACGATGTGCTCGCTTCGTCTAAATAATTACGAGACATCAAGCAAATAATAATTTATATTTCTCAATTTTTAAATACACATCCAACTACTACCAGTTTGTATAAAAAGGAGTAATTTCAACAGAAGTTATGGTGGATAAATATAAAATTTACCTCTTATTTCTGCTTTTGCATCTGTATTCAAATATCTGCAGCAAAGAACTTTCTCGACATTAAATAGTTGATACCTTTCTATAATTTTTACACAATTTAACATTTTTTAAAATAATTTGTAATATTTTTCCATTAACTAACTTACTTAACCTAAAAGAAGTTTATGATGAGATGTATCAGTTACTTCACTACAAATAACTGAAACAGAATTTCTGTAAAAATAGTGTAAAATAATATTAAAATTTTGAGCAATATTCAAACTATCCATACACAACTTTTGTATACAATATGTTTATCGTCATGAATTCAATCATTTATGAAAATAGTTTTGCTATAAATGCAAGAAGAGCTACAAGAATTACTTTGTACGTCCATCTCTAATAACTCAGAAGTCACAGAACAAATAATAATTGTTTTCTGTTCTGTGACTGAGTGTTGAGATTTCACGGCACAACATAAATTTGACACCTGGTAGTTTCTGTCATTCTGTGACAGCTGACATAGTTTCCACTTAGTTACGTGAAAATAATTTTGGGTTAAATAATAATATGGCTGGAACTGCAAAACTTGCAACTGGATTAACTGGCCTTGCTGTGGCCAAAAATCCTCATCATACATTAGGTATATTATACAGTAAAATTTTAAGGACTTTACAAAAAATGCCAGAGGATGCCGCCTACAGAAAATACACAGCGGACATAATAAATGAAAGATCGAAAATTTTGAAGTCCACTACTGATGTTGTGTCTATTGAAAGACAAATAGGATGTGGACAAATTGAAGAGGTAATTGTACAAGCTGAAAATGAATTAATACTTGCCAGGAAAATGTTGAACTGGAAGCCTTGGGAACCTTTAGTAAAAGAAGCTCCTCCAACTCAATGGACTTGGCCACCAGCCCAACCTCGGAGTTAATTTGTTAAATATGTAAAAAAATAGAAATCTAGCGCCTTTGTAAATATTTAGAATAAATATTAAAATCTAGTTTCATATTTTTTTAAAAAGGGGTATAGTATGGGTAGGGCATATCATAACTACTTTGATATTTTTCTTTATGTGAATACTTTCTAATACTTTATGTGAAACAGGGTCTCAAATATATATGGTAAAATGCAAAAACATTAAAAGAAATGAATATAATACAGCATTATTTTGATATCACAATGAATTAAAAAAATGAACACAAGCAATGTTTAGGGAATTATATTCTTCTTGTAATATATTCTTCTGAGAAGTATATTCTTCTTGTAGTTTCTTCATCAGTCTCATGCAATCACTTCTTGACCATCTGCAAAGCTTAGCATATACAGATATTCGTTTCGTACTGGTACTCCCATGCCTTCGCATTATTTTTCCATGTAGTCAAGGCTTTCTCTAAGTATATTTTGAATAGGGTTGGAGATGAGGAACAACCCTGCAGGAGCCCTCTTGTTGTGGTGAAGTTTCCTATGATTCTTGTTCCCATTTTAATGGACACTTTATTTTCTTTATACATATCTTTTGTAGCTTCCCACAGTTCTAACCTCCGTACAGTCATACGCCTTTCTCAGGTCCACAAATGCCAAATGTATATCCCTATTTTTTGCTTTCTTCTTGTCCAACAGTTGTTCCAGTGTGTATATGTGGTCTATGCATGATCTTCCTGCCATGAAGCCTGCTTGATCCTCTCTGATTTTGCCTTTTATCGCTTGCTCTATCTTTTCTCGCAGTACCTTCCCATATAATCTTCCTATTGATGATATTATGCTTATTCCTCTGTAGTTTTCTATCTTCTTTTTTAAATATAGGTGTCATATATGCCTCCGTCCATTCCTTTGGGAACTGTTCTACATTTATGGCTTTCTGAAATATCCATTTTATCAACCGGTGTAATTTTTTTGAGCCGTACTTTATAAGCTCAGATGAGATGCCTCCAGGTCCCGGTGCTTTCTTATTTTTGATTGCTTTTATGACCGTTCTCATTTCCCTATCTGTTATTTTTATTTCTTGTTGTAGGGATCTGCTTCGTCTTCGCCTGTTTTCTTTTCCAATGAATTGTGGTCTTTGTTCTGTTAACAGTCCCTTGTAATAGTTCTTTCATTATTTGTCCTGTATATTTCCCAATTTTTTCTTTTGAGTTTTGTTTCAATCTTCTCAGTACTTTCCATGACTCCGAAGTTCTTGTACCTCCTATGTGTATTTCAATATTTAAGCAGGTTCTTTCCCATTCTTTTTTTTTTTATTTTTTTTTTTTATTAGAAAAGATGTCGCATCCACCAAAAGGTTATTAGCGACGGAACAAAATATAAATAACAAAGTAACAGACCCTACAGATTGTACAAAATATTTATGGATCTGAGATAATTCACTATTAGATTAGATTCACACAGTTTGACCATAGAGCCTGTGGTAGAGCGTTTGGGATCTTGTAGCGCTGTCTTTCTTGGTCATATTTACTACAAATTATTAAAAAGTGTTCGACTGTTAATCGGACGTTACACTGATAACATATAGGTGGATTTTTCTTTGTGAAAAGGTAGGAGTGCGTTAATCTGGTATGTCCTATAATGCACCCTGGCTGGGTGCACGGAAATCGAGTTCCCGGAGGTTCCACCATGTATATTTATAGCTATCTAGAAATGTAATTTAAAATATATTTGTTAGTTTAATAAAGTATAAATCTAATATAATTTTAAATAACTTACACTATAAACCGTATACCTGCTCATCTGGTCAAGTGTGGGCAAGGAAAACCATTATCCCATATGGAATAACACAAGGTTTCGCTGAAAACTACCAGGTTGCTATGCCAAGGAACTAGGTAAACTTATGTTGTGTGTAAAAAATGCGAGACTGCATTATATTTTAACAAGGACAAAAACTGCACTTCAGATTTCCACAAAAAAAATTTCATAGTGGGTGTTGAAATTTCGCAGTGATTCAAGTGCGCCACTTGTTTTTTTAATAACATCGCCGGGATTAAAAAATGTGAAATGCTTTTTCGATATTCTCGTTCCTGATAATTTTTCACATATTTACAAAACAAAAAGTTTTTCTTGGATATTGGGATAGGTGCGTGGAAATCGAGTTACCGGAGGTTCCACCCGGTATATTTATAGCCATCAAGAAATGTAATTTAAAATACATTTTTTAGTTTAATAAAGTATATAGTTTTATAATAAAATTCTCGCTAAAAACTTAAGGTCTTTTTATTCAAATTCTTGCTTCTTATTTGTAGGTATACTTGAAGGCAATTATTTTATCAATATATTATTTTATAATAAATAACAGAGCCCGGCGTAGAGATCTGGGTACGGTTCTGTGACTACCACTTGGACCTGTTTGTATCGCCAAGCACAAGGCGTGAAATCCGGCAATTGTGCATTCCTATATTAGCCGTACTGCACTCTCGGTGTGACATTTTCTATAGACGTAAACGCGCAACCGTAATTTGTTCCCGTCTATTGCGCGACGATGGAAACCACTGAGACACATTATTTTTAATTTTATTTAGATTGGAATTAGTTTGAGACCACTCCCATTTCGCCACAAACACAACACTTTATTTTTAAAATAAGCTTTTAAGTCATTGGAAACACACTTGTCTATCGGCTCCGACAAATCACTTAAAATAGCCTCTCGTGCAATCCTGTCAGCTTCTTCATTTCCTGTTATTCCAACGTGTGAGGGAACCCATAAAAATTGGATGCTTCTTCCATGTTCATGAGCTTGGGAAAGCTGGTATTTTAGCAACTTTTCAAAAGGATGTTTTGGAAAAATGTGTTTTAATGAGTTTAGAGAGCTAAGGGAATCTGTTATGATAAGGGCTTTTGTAAAAGTGTAAGCTCGTTAAGAAGTTTCACAGCACGGTATATGGCGTAGAGTTCAGCTGAATATGTGCTGCATGCTGAGGGTAAACGGAAAAGAAGATTGTTTTCTGAAGATTCTTTTTTTGTGTTATTTGTTTTATCACGTCTCTATCTTTTTCTCTATATTCTTTATAAACTTCATCGATGTTTGTAGTCAGCCATTTTCTATATATAGTTGTTTTTTTTTTCTTTAATTATTCTTTTTGTTGGTACATTTATTTCATAACAGTGCCATTTATTTGTTATATGTTCTTTCTCTCCAAGGATTTGAATGCTGCTTGTTTTATACTCGTCTTTATATACTCGTATATTTCTTCGATGTTGCCGTATCTGAATTCTAATAATTTTTTGTTTAGACGTTATTTGTATAGTTCTCTTATTGATTGTTCTTGGAGTAGTTCTATATTGTATTGTTTTTCTCTTATAGTCTTCAACGGTTCTTCTGTAGAGGGGTCTTGTTATGTTTATAATTAATGTCATTTTTGCTGTCAGTAGTTTATGTTCAGTTCCACATTCTGCTCCTCTTCTGATTCTCACATATTTTATCTTTATTGTGGTATCTTGTTTGACTATTAAGTAGTCTAGTATCGATTTGTTTTCGTGTTTCTTGCGTCCATGTATATTTAAATGAATATTTTTGTTTGAAGAATCCGTTGGTAATTTTTAGGTTGTTTCTCATAATTCAATCAGAAGTTCTCCGTTATCGTTTTGTTCATCCTCTCCAAATCTCCCCACAACTTTATCGTTTTCTTTTCTTTCGGTTCTGCCGTAAATGTCTCCTGTTATAATTATCACCACGTTCTTCTTGATTATCTCTATTTGATGTTGAAGTTGTTCCGCGAAATTTTCTTTTCCTCATCTCGGGGAATCGTCTGTTGGTGCATATATTCCGAATATCAATGTATCTTTATCGTATATGTCTATAGGCATTTTAATTATCCTCTCGTTGGTTGGCTCCCATGTTCTAAACATGTTGCTTTCTCTATACTCCTTGATCACTTCCGTCTCCTTTTTATTCCATCATTGTATATTCCACGTTGTACACATTGATGTGCTATTTTTTCTTAGTTTTGCTTTTTGGTTGAGTTTTGATAATACTGGGTCTTCCGAACTTTTCGCAATATTTCCCCTTCCCCCTCTATATCTCCGATGGGACTCCCTCTATCAGAGGTGCGCATTTCCACCCGGGGATGTTTCCGTATTTGGCTTTTTCATCTTGCGATTTTCGTTCTTCTGTGTGTTAGGTTGCTAATTTCTAACGACACAACCCCCGTTTGGAGGACCTTTCATTCAGCCGCCCATTCTGGATCTGATCTCTGTTGATTCTTCCGCCCTCTCGACCATTGTGGACTTTTCCAGCCACCCTCTGCTCTTGAGACTGTTGACTGGTTTTTACCTGTACCCCAGACAGGAACCCTCACAGGGTGCTATCAGCTGAACCCTGTTTTTTTTAGAGGTGTTACTCCTCTATCCCTCCCTTTTATCCGACCTTGGGACCGGTCATTTTTAAATTCTATTATTACGCAACATTAGCCGAATAGGTCGGGTGATTATGAGCTTTATACTAATTGGAAATTTCGCCTCTTACTGTTCAACAATGCATTTAATGCGGTCCCTACCAACATACCTAGTCCGTTAAATTATATCTTGAAAAAAGTTGGAAACTGAATTGTTTTAAGAATATCCTGAATTAGCCTTAGATACGCACCAATAGCCGACTCTACTATATCTAAGTTTTTTCAATTTTACTACAATCTGTAACAAGGATCGGTTTTACGTAATTCTTAAATATTTATTTTTGTTTATTTGAACCACCTATAGATTCACTAGGTGCTTATTAAAATTACACATGTAATTAAAATAATAAAATAACTACCTATTAAATTTTAAAAATACAGAAAACATAGTATTAAACTTTGCGCTAGCCTACAGTCTCTCCTCTACTGCATCACTTTTTGATTTTTTTTATATTTGATCGTTTTTTCTTCTTCTAACATAGTATCGCAATTGATTTGTTTTTCATTGTCTAGTTTTATGCAATAACTATTAGCATTTATAATGCACTTCATTTTTGTTAGGTAACAGCACAATATCATTCACCTACCTAGCCAGCGATGCATTATAAGAACTTATTA